TCCCCGCCGCGGCTGGGTTATAAATAATGCCTCGGTGGCAGCGCGGTAATGAGATGCAGATTGTGGGGGGGGGCTGGGGGGTTGCGGCGCTGTCTGACAGGCAGTGACAAGGGTGATCGTGCTGGTACGGCGCTCGCCGTGCGGGCATGTGCACGCGCGTGTGGCAGCAGTGGTGCCCGAGCTGGTGCTGGGGCCAGTGGGAGAAGGTGGCTGTGTGGGGTCCTTGTGGGGGACACAGGCCTCGTGTAAAGGAGCGATTTCTGGTGCAAGGGAAAGGAGGCACATGTGCAAGGGGCCACGTGCCAATCGTGTCCCCAGCTGGAGGGTGGCAGGGAGGGTCCCTGTGCAATGGGCACAGCCATGGAGAGGGGCGTGGTATCATTCCCCTGCCCCCCTCCCCCGTGCATGGTGATGGGGAGGGTCCTTGTGCAAGGGATGTGGCCAATGGTGCAGTCAGGGGGAAAGTTCCTTGTGCAAATCACGCCATGGTGCAAGGGGCTATGGGACAGGTCCCATGCAAATCGCACCATGGTGCGAAGGGTCACGGGGATCCTTGTGCTCATAGTGAGGTGTCGGGGCGGGGCTTCGGGTCTGTGTGAATGGTACAGTCCTCCCTCTTGCCCTCCCTTCCCCTCTGGCATGGTACGGTCTGCCTCCAGCCCCTCCCTTGTGACAGCAGGAGTGGTACAGTCCTGGGCCCCTGAGGGTGGCAAGGAGGAGCTTTTGGGAAGCTGTGATTGGCTGCCTTTCCCCACTTGCCCTGCCTCCTGGGGGAAGGGCAGCCAATCAGAAGGCAGGACTGCAAATCCTGTGAGATTTTAGTATTCTCGTGGGGTTTGGGGGGGGAGGGGGCGTTGACCTTAGCCTGAACCAAGATGGCTGCCCCTGCCAGTGCCCCTGGGGATGGGGTGTGGCCAGGGGGTGGGGGCGTGGCCAGGAGCTTCCCTGGGCGGGGCCGGGAGTCGGACACCTGGGTTCTCCCAGGCTCTGGGGGTGCTGGGGCTGGGTGCTGCGTTTGGGGGTTCGCTGACCCCCGTCTCTCCCCCCATTGCAGGTCCAGCCCTCTCACGAGACGCCCCGCGGACACCGTGCGCACGCGGGGGCCCCCGGAGCCACCCCGCCGCCCTTCATCGATCGGTCCAGCCGCCACGTCCCCGCCACCCGCATCGCCCGCCGGGACCTGCACGCAGCGAACTTT